TTTTTGGGGGTCCCGGGTGAGTTTTTGGGGGTTTTTTGGGGTCCCAGCTGAGTTTTTTGGGGTGTTTTGGGGGTGTTTTGGGCTCCCAGGTGTGTCCCACCCCCCCAGGTGTGTCCCAGGTGTATTTTTGGGGGTCCCAGGTGTGTTTTTGGGTTGGTTTTGGGGGTTTTTGGGGCATCTCAGGCGAGTTTTCGGAGCCGTTTTTTGGGGTCCCGGGTGAGTTTTTGGGGGTTTTTTGGGGGTCCCAGCTGAGTTTTTTGGGGTGTTTTTGGGGTGTTTCAGGCTCCCAGGTGTATTTTGGGGGTCCCAGGTGTGTTTTTGGGGTGGTTTTGGGGGTTTTTGGGGTCTCACCCAGGTAGTTCTGCCAGCAGTTCTTGGTCTGGTTCTGGTTGGGGAAGCGGGAGTCGAACGGCGCCGTCTTGTAACGCTCCAGCTTGGCCTTGATGTCCTCGGCCATGGCTAATTAGGGCCGGTAATTAAGCTAATTAGGGCCTCAGGGACTCATTAGCGCCCCCAGGGGGTAATTGAGACCCTCCTGGGGTTCATTAACCCACCCTGGAGTTAATTAATCCTCCCCTGGGGTGAGAAAGGGAAGGGGAAAAGGAGAGATTGGGGAGGGAAATAATGAGATTAGGGGACCATTAATTATGCTAATTAGCACCTCAGTGATTAGTTAAGGACCTGCAGGGTTGATTAACACCCCCAAGGATTAATTGAGACCCTCCTGGGGTTCATTAACCCACCCTGGAGTTAATTAATTGCCACTTAAAACAAGAAAAGGGAGAGGAAAGAGGAGATTGAAGAGGGAGATAATGAGATTAAATGATCATTAATTAGGCTAATTAGCACCTCAATGATTAGTTAAGGACCTGCAGGGTTGATTAACACTCTCAAGGATTAATTGAGACCCTCCTGGGGTTGATTAACCCACCCTGGAGTTAATTAATCCCCCCTTGGGGTGAGAAAGGGGAGGGGAAAGAGCAGATTGGGGAAGGGAATAATGAGGTTGAAGGATCATTAATTAGACTAATTAGCACCTCAGCAACTAATTAAGGACCTGCAGGGTTGATGAAGACTCTCAAGGATTAATTGAGACCCCCCTGGGGTTGATTAACCCACCCTGGAGTTAATTAATCCCCACTTACAGCAAAAAATGGGAGAAGAAAAATGAGATTGAAAAGACAAATAATGAGGTTGAAGGACCATTAATTAGGCTAATTAGCACCTCAGTAATTAATTAAGGGCCTGTAGGGTTAATTAGCACCCCCAGGGATTAATTAAGACCCTCCTGGGGTTGATTAACCCACCCTGGAGTTAATTAATCCCCCCCTGGGGTGAGAAAGGGGAGGGGAAAAGGAGAGATTGGGGAGGGAGATAATGAGATTAGGGGGTCATTAATTATGCTAATTAGCACCTCAGTGATTAGTTAAGGACCTACAGGGTTGATTAACACCCCCAAGGATTAATTGAGACCCTCCTGGGGTTCATTAACCCACCCTGGAGTTAATTAATCCCCCCTTGGGGTGAGAAAGGGGAGGAGAAAAGGAGAGATTGGGGAGGGAGATAATGAGATTAGGGGATCATTAATTAGGCTAATTAGCACTTCAGCAATTAAATAAGGGCTTGTAGGGTTGATTAACAGCCTCAAGGATTAATTAAGACCCTCCTGGGGTTAATTAAGCCACCCTGAGATTAATTAACCCCCACTTAGAGCAAAAAATGGGAGAAGAAAAATAAGATTGAAAAGGAAGATAACGAGGTTGAAGGATCATTAATTAGGCTAATTAGTGCCTCAGTGATTAATTAAGGGCCTGCAGGGTCGATTAACACTCTCAAGGATTAATTAAGACCCTCCTGGGGTTAATTAATCCACCTTGGAGTTAATTAATCCCCCCTTGGGGTGAGAAAGGAGAGGGAAAAAGGAGATAAAGACAAACTGGGCTAATTAATTAGTTAATTAGTTAATTATGTTAACTCATTAACACCTTCTAGGGCTAATTAAGGCCCCCTGATGTTAATTAGTCCTCCCTCTGATTGTTAGTTACAGTAATTAAGTAGTTAGTGAAAAGGTTAATGAATGGGGATTAATTAATGATTCATAAATTAATTAATGAGTCAAGTAGTGACTTAATTAACTGGAATAATTAGTGAAGGAAGAATTACGGTAGTTAATGAGATAATTAGCGAGCAAATCAATTAATCAGTGGTGGTTATTAATTAAATGTGGTGATTAATAAGGTAATAATTATTAATTAATTAACTAATTAATTATTTTTTAATAATTTATGAATAATTGAGGGTTAATTAAACAACTAATTAATCAGTTAATAACTTAATGAGACAATTATTAACTATAGAGCCGTCCCAGTCCATCCCAGTGACCCCCCCAGTTCATCCCAGTCCCCTCCCAGTTCTTCCCAGTCCCCTCCCAGTTCATCCCAGTGCTCCCAGTTCCCTCCCAGTGACCTCCCAGTTCATCCCAGTGAACCCCCAGTTCATCCCAGTGAACCCCCAGTTCATCCCAGTCCCCTCCCAGTGACCTCCCAGTTCATCCCAGTGACCTCCCAGTTCATCCCAGTGACCCCCCAGTTCATCCCAGTGACCTCCCAGTTCATCCCAGTGACCTCCCAGTTCATCCCAGTGACCTCCCAGTTCACCCCAGTGACCTCCCAGTTCATCCCAGTGACCTCCCAGTTCATCCCAGTGACCCCCCAGTTCATCCCAGTGACCCCCCAGTTCATCCCAGTGACCTCCCAGTTCATCCCAGTGACCTCCCAGTTCATCCCAGTGACCCCCCAGTCCCTCCAAACCC